GAACATTTATGAAGGTAGACAACTTGTTGAACTTTTACTTTTTTCTTTTTATATGGGAATAAATTTTTAATGAAAATTATGATCTTTTAAAAATAAAAAAGACTTTAATTGAACTTTTAAACTGATCAATAGTTTAATTATAAATATGATAGATGTTATTTTAAAAAGTGAAATACAATTTTTTTATTAAGTTTATATCAGTTAAATAATTAAATATTATTAATATATGAAAATATTATAAATATTATTTTTCTTTGATATATAAACAAGTGTAATTCTTTCCTTTATTTATAATAGAAAATATTAGATTCATTAAAATTAAAATATTGGCCTATGTGTTCTTTAGTTCTTATCAATAACACAATACTGGGCCTTGTATGATCTAAAAAAAGAAACACGATAAATGTCCGATTATTTTCGATTATGAATCGAAATGGTGTTTCCGATTCGATTCGATAATCGATAGTATTTTTCCTCCGATTCTGAAACACTAATACCTACAATAAAGAATGAATACTTACAGTAGAGAATGGTACAACCTATCAATCATTTAAAAAAAAATTATGTATTATTAAATTGTTATAAGAAGTTTCAAAATCCTATGAGTAGACTTTCATTTTACTGAATTCCTTTATTTCATATTTAAAATTTATATTTCAAAATTATTTTGTTATTTCAATGTACAAATTAAAAATTATAACAGAGGTCGTTCTTTTGTGCTTGTTTCTATTTTTACAGTTGCCTTAATTTTTTGTAGTTGACCAGTTCAATCATCAATATTTTCAAAAATGAAGTGAAGCAGGAGGATTTTACGAATAATCCGAAGTGATGATCTGCTCCAACTGCCAGGAAACACAGAGGATTACCATTTCAAACATCAATGGATACCCTTGAGGGACAATTTTCAATGTCAAATGCCCTAACTACCAGGAGTGCGAAGAATGGGAATTAAGAGTCTTCCAAGACAGCCCCTTCCACACCTACTGCCAAAACTGATCCAATTCCATTTGAGGGACAATTTTCAGTGTCAAATGCCCTAACTACCAGGAGTGCGACGAATGGGAATTAAGAGTCTTCCAAGACAGCCCCTTCCACACCTACTGCCAAAACTGATCCAATTTCATTTGAGGGACAATTTTCAATGTCAAATGCCCTAACTACCAGGAGTGCGACGAATGGGAATTAAGAGTCTTCAAAGACAAGAGCTAGAAGAATTTTCAGTGAGAAGAGCGAGGCCTGAGGACTTTTTATCATTACGTGGAGAATGAACATTGTTCCTCAATTGTTACAATAGCTAGGGAGTTTCATTTTTTTTAAGCCAACTCACTCATCTGCCGCTCTTACAACTGCTCCATGAGGGATATATACATTGCTCTATTATTATACATACATGTTTTATATTACTCAAGTTAGATCTTTCTGTTAAGTTAAGGAAGGCTGACGAGTAACTTTTGTCACAAGTAAATGTCACTGATACTGGTTATGGATTAATTGAAGGAGGAAGAGGAGGCATCGGCGGCAGCAACAGGTTTGACTATTGACTCCCCCAGCCACAGCCACAGGGTTAGGGTTACCACTTTCCTATGGTAGGATATGATTTGATTAATTTTATGCAAATGTACAAAGTATATACAAGGACATTTATTCTATTTAAAGAATGTAAGGTTTTATGAAATATTGATATAAAATGGAGAAATGGATTGGCCCCCTTTGTTTCTATATGGTAGACCGTAACCTTGCAATTATTAAAATTTCAGCCCCTCCCCCACCCACTGCCACAAAGTTGGATTATCCAATTACATTTGTTAAGGACATGATGTAATTAATGCCTTGCATACGTACAAACTACTTACAAGGACAGTTATTGAAGTCAAAGAAAGTAAGCCTGTTCCAACTAATGATATAAAATGAAGAAATGAATGATAATATGTGTGGTAGGAAGTTATTGAAGTCAAAGAAAGTAAGCCTGTTCCAACTAATGATATAAAATGAAGAAATGAATGATAATATGTGTGGTAGGAAGTCCTTGACAATGTTATGGAGTATTTATTTAACTTTTTTAAGAAGAAATAAAAATGAGTCTCCCTCTCTTTTTAGCTCATGACTCACAGTAACTGTACCAACTCTCAACTTCTTGTAAAAACCCTACACTTGATATAATTTTACAGATCAGATCGAGGGACAATATGAGGACATCACCACGGGTAAGAACATGATTTACATAACATCTTGATTTACCTTAAAATATTGAAAAGAAATGAAATGAAAATGTGAATATTATTGAAATTGATGGATGGGAATGAAATAGGATGACAATCTTAAATATGGGTGACATTGTGTACCAAGATTTTCATGAGAACACTAGAAAGCCATTGTTATAATTTTCTGATGATGTAAAATTGTGAAAGATATCTAATGTAGAAAAATTGCGAATGATATCTTATGTAGAAAAATCATTATCCTACTAAAGAGTGTTATAGACTAAGGAAGAGAATGCTACAATTTACAAAGGGAAAAAAAGAAATGGAACTAGAAACGATCTCGTACACAAGGATTTTCCTATAATTTGTAGGATATACATGTATCTATGAAGCTAATTTGTACTTCTTGCGTAGCTTGTAAATGTCACTGATACTTGTTAAATTAATCACATTTGTAAAGCACATGTTTGTTGCAGAAGACCGTAAAATAAAAATGTGAATGATATCTAATGTAGAAAAATCAATGTCCTCCTAAAGAGTGTTAAAGACAAAGGAAGGAAAAAAAGAAAAAGAAATGGAACTAGAAACTATATCGTACACAAAGATATTCCTGTAATTTTCAGGATATATCTATGAAGAAAAGTTGTTTTTCTTGATTAGCTTGTAAATGTCACTGATAATTGTAGGAAAAATCAAACTTGATAAAGCACATGTTTGTTGCAGGCGACCGGGATGAAGGCGTTTATTCGCAACGAAATGGATGATAAGTTATGCTTCTTTATTATTTTTAACCTCCCCTGGATAGTATGTGTGAAGAGACTGCCCAGGGTGCAGTCTGCCTGATTTAAAGGAAATGAAAATATATTTGGACAACTTATTCATTGAAAAATACAATTGTTATATAACAAATTTATATATAGGAATGAGAATACATGTAATCATTTCCATCCTCTCCTCCTAAATGAAACAACCCTTTGATTGTAGTGTTTATTTTTTTAGTATTATTATGAGAGGGTTAGTTAATATCGGAATAATTTCAGAGCTGAAAGACTATATAAAAGCAAGGGAAGAGGAGGCGGGGGCGGCTGCGGCGGCAGGTAAGAATATATGTGTAAGACTCCAAGGAAAATATGCAAGTTAAAGGCAGAAAATTCCACATGGGGAGCAAAAAGAATTAAGGAAGAGCTAGGTATTTCAATGGGGGAAACAAGTGTACGGAAATATGTGTCAAATTTTATATTTGACATTGATACAGAGTCCACTTTCTACAAGAGCTCGAAAGTAAGCGAGGTACATAGAAGAGTTCTATCCAAGGATCAGCTGATCGTGGAGATCCAAAAAAATCACAATGTTGACCACAGAAAAAGTGATGCCATCTACGAGACAATCAGGAAAACGTTCTTTCCTGTCACTCGGGAAAATGTCAGACTTCTCTTCAAACTGCATGTGGAATGTAACAAGTGTCTTGCAGCAGTTGATCTGCCGAAAACGGAGAGGACGAGATGTCCCATTCCGGCATCATACCCTAACAGCAGATGGCAAATGGACCTAAAGAAAATGCCACCATGCAGAGGATTCAATTACATTTGTAACATAGTAGACTGTTACAGCAGGTTTGCTTTTGGAGCCTGCTTAAAGCAGAAAACAGCGAAAGAAGTCTCAGACGTTCTTCTGCGCTTTATCTACTTATTCGGGCCTCCCAGAATCCTACAAACCGATAACGGGAAAGAATTTAATAACTCTGATTTATCGGCCGTAATGGATGAATTTAAGACAAGGCATGTTAATGGTAGACCTTGCCATCCCCAATCCCAAGGTATTTTTTTTTTATCTCGCTGTATTGCCTAATTGCAAAATTCCTTATACTTAGTTAAATAGTATAATAGTTTTTAGATGCACTGCAGTTGTAAACATGTCAAGTTAATCAAAATTTCTATATCTAAAATTTCATTTTTAATGAATCAAAATTGCGTTTATACATGTACAAGGGCTGTTGAAGTAATATGGAAAAGAAAAATTGCCGAGTGAAGTGTGAGCAAGAGCAAATAAATTTTACAGGTCGAGTCGAAAGGTTTAATAGGACCGTTGTGGCATACTTCCGGACCCAATTTGTCGACACCAGAGACTGGCCACGTAACCTGGAGGAGTTTTATTACAAGTACAACAACCGCGTCCACAAGTCCACAAAGCCCATGACACCACATCAGATGTTCTTCAAAAGACCAAACTTCTCTGTCGTAGTAGAGGAACAGGTAAAAATAATTAATCCATTTACTATTCAAAAAAAGTGCAAGACCTATCCCTAATTAGTCATATAAAGTGCAAAAACTAAACCTAATCATTCTAATGGGGCACAAGGACTAACCTTAATCAGTCTAATGGGGCACAAGAACTAACCTTAATCAGTCTAATGGGGCACAAGAACTAACCCTAATCAGTCTAATGGGGCACTAACCCTAATCAGTCTAACGGGGCACAAGAACTAACCCTTATCAGTCTAATGGGGCACAAGAACTAACACTAATCAGTATAATGGGGCACAAGAACTAACCCTATTCAGTCTAATGTGGCACAAGAACTAATCTTAATCAGTCTAATGGGTCACTAGAACTAACCCTTATTACATAAAAAAGGGGAGGGGTAAATTAATGGTTAAGTCTGCGATTAATAATCCGTTTATCTCAATTATTTTTACAAAGAAAATATCCTCAACACTTAGGTTGAAATGCGAGGATTAACTTAAACCCTTTACGTCCCCCAATAAAATGATAGCTACTAGCCTTAATTAGTTTTTTTTATATTACTCATTGAGCGCAGAGATCTTGTGAATCTGAGGATCAGTTAAATATAAACAATTAGTTTAAAGTGATTAAATGATTAATGACATCTACATTTACCCTACAGGGTTAATATGGAATGTAACCTTTTGAATTTTCATAGATTTTAAAATGTCAATAATCATAAATTTTAGATATCGATGTGCAACTTAACAAGAGAGGAGAGAGAATTTCTGGAAAAAGCTCACCTTGATGTCGATGAGGATGACGCAGATGGACAAAGTAATGACAAAGAGGACAATGAAATTGAAAGCAATAACACAGATTCAGAGGTGCTACATAATTTTTTAAATGAGTGAAAACAATAATCATTGGTTAAAAATGAATTATCTAATCTATAAACCGGTCACGGTAGCCTAGTGGTAGAGCGTTCGCTTCGTGATCGGGAGGCCCGGGTTCGATTCTCGATCGCGGCGCCGCGTCATACCTAGGACGTAAACAAAGGTAGTGACTGTTCCTTCGCCAAGCGCTCGGCACTAGAAGTGAAAGTCACGGGTCTTTCGGATATGACCTTAAAAACGTAGGTCCCGTGTCACGGTAGGCGTTGGCACGATAAAGAACCCTCACTGCTCAATGGCCCTGAGTGCCGAGTATAGGTCTAAATTTGAAGCCCTTCACCGGCATCGGTGACGTCTACATATGAGTGAAAAATTCTCAAGAGGGACGTTAAACAATATACAATCAATCTAATCTATAATGACGATAATTTACAAAAAATTGGTTTATTCATCCTTTTTAAACTACGGCAGAATTAATTGAGCAAATACATGCAACTTAAAACTAATCGTCTATTTATCTGTGCTTTTTTTTAGTCAAACCATGCCAACCAAAATATCATTTCAACACAACTGCCAATCACGTCAACAAGTGATGATGAAGCATCGGTAGGACCCCCCCCCCGGTTCCTTCATTTATATTTTTATATGTTGATTAATGAGAAATGTGGACTTGTAGACTTTGTCAACGAATGATGATATAATATGGCAACGGTCCGATTTTAAAACATTTCTATATAGTTTAATGAGAAATGTGGAGTTAAAATTATTTTTTTAATATGACGAACGTTATAGGACCATTTGCCTCCATTTTGACCATTTCTAATATTAAAATTGTGGAGTTTAAAGTTATTTTTTTTTAAACAGGTCACTACTGGAGATCTGGATAAGCTCCCGCTGGATTTGTCTCCCCTGCCCCGTGAAAGCACTATACCACTGCAAGATGTAACAAACTCTCAGGTAATACGCAACGCTCAACAAATGCAGGTAATAACATGCAACTATCATATGGGTTAAAAATACTGAGTAGGGGATTCATTTTAATTGCAATCTTTTTTGTTGTTATTGTGAGTAATTTTTACATGATATTAAAGATGCACTTTAAAACTGTTTCAGTCTGGTGTAAGTCCATACTACAAAAATTTGTATAACCGGCTATTCCAGAACCCCGCAGTCAGCAATAAAAGAAGATACTCAGACTCTATGTGCTCCATGAAAGAGGTAAGACCAAATTCTTACAATTTGAAAATTGAAGAGCAATTGAGAAAGAAATATTAAATGAATTTAAGAATATAACATTTATCCAACAGAATTCTGACCACTGGAACAACGATTTGTATCCACTGGAACTCTTTCCTAAAAAACCAGCGACTGTAGCAACACTGCAGAAGTTTGATCCCGCAGTAGACGACATCGTAGATTTTAAACCGAATTCGGCGCTGTCTGCTGGAACAAACGTTTTCCTATCGGGCTACTGGAGGAAGGGACGGGTCACTAAAGTTGACATGGACGATAGCAAAGGAAAAGTGTACACTGTGGAGGACTGTGAGAACAATAAAATTCACCTTTTGTCTAAGTATCTTATACGTCCTAACATGCTATAAATTGCAAATGTACAACTAGTGCTAATTGTAACGGGGACCGTTACAGATGTTCCCCAAACGCTCCCCAACTCCCTTTGGTGCCATATTCCCTGTAAGTTTGATTAAATAGGACAAAATCTATGCATTTGAAACTTTAACAACGCCAAGTTCATCCAACTTTAAGCATTGCATACGTGCGCATGTGAATGCATGTGCGTAATGACCATTTCATGTTGTCTACACAATCTATACATTTTAAGATACTAAATATTACAGTATTTAATCCAAAAGTATTTAAAAATAAGCTCATTCAAGTGTATTTTTGATTTAACTCATTTCACGTGCGCGCACGTGCATACATCAGCATGGTGACCATATCTTCTTGTAGAGGTCTATTACATCTATCTATGTTCTAAATGGCACCCTGTTTGGTTGAAAAACATGGGAGTTATAGCTTTATAAAGTTTCAGCCAATCAAATTACAGCGCACTTACACGCACGAGTATTCATGTGCATAATGACCATATATTCTTGTACATATCTATATCTCAATATATCTATCTTTGTTTCAAATCCCATCCTGTTTGGTTGAAAACCACGGGAGTTAAAGTTTAAGCCAATCAGATTGCAGCACACATGCATACGCGTGATTTCATATTTTTTTTTCTTTATCGTATTGAAGGATATCTAAATGAATGACTATATTTTAAAATTCCAAACATTTCGTCAAAAAACAAAGGAGATAAAGCCATATAAAGTTTCAGCCAATCAGATTGCAGCACACGTGCATGCGCGTGATTTCATCATTTTTTTCTATATCATATTTTAGGATATCCTAATGCATGACTATGTTTTAAATTTCAAAGCATTTCGTCAATAAAGAAAGGATATATAGCCATTTAAAGCTTAAGCCAATCAGATTCCAGCACGTGCGCATGCGCATGCTTTCATGAAAATTTATATATATCATGCTGTAGATCTTCATAATGTAGGACTATGTTTAAAATTTCAAAAGATTATGACAAGAAACAAGAAAGATATTGAGACTTTAGTTTCAGCCAATCAGAGTGAAGCACACGTGCATGCGCGTGAGATCTTGCTATTTTGACCATGCCATCTTTTCTATACTACTAATGTATCCTTACATTATGAGTTTCAAAAAAAATTCATCAGGAAAAAGAAAAGGTACAGCAATATCCATTATATTGGTCATTTCACGTGTTGCACGTGCAAGCTCTTGAAAGCACGTGCGCGCAAAATGACCTTCGTTCGGCAAATCTACATAACATGTCTACTGACCCTAAAAACATTTTACCTTAGTCAGATGTATAGTTTACAAGATCACTCGTGGACAAAATTTTCCAAGGAAGAAGAAAAATAACTAGGGCTAATTGTAACGGGAACCGTTACAGATGTTCCCCAAACGCTCCCCAACTCCCTTTCGGTGCCTTATTCACCGTAAGCTTCATTAAATAAGACAAACGCGATACATTTAAGACATAACAAAGTTTTACCAGAAGTATTCAATTTAAGCATTGGACGCATGCGCATGTGAATGCATGTGCATAATGACCATATCATCTTGTCTACACTATTGATATATATCTTAATATACTAAATATTACAGCATTTAATCCAAAAATATGTTTAATCTAGTGTATTGGGAATTTTACTCATTTCACGTGCATGCACGTGCATGCATATGCATGATGACCATTCCCTTTTGTAGGAGTCTATAATATCTATCTATATTCTGAATCCCATCCTATTTATTTGAAATCCAAGAGAGTTATAGCCAATTAAAGTTTCAGCCAATAAGATTGCAGCGCACGTGCATGCGCGTGATTTGATGAAAATTCTTATATATCATATTGTAGGATATCCTAAAGCATGCCTATGTTATGAATTTCAAAGCATTTCGTCAAAAAACAAAAAAGATATTGAGATTTTTGCTTCAGCCAATCAGAGCGAAGCGCACATTCATGCACGTGCAAGCATGTTCATAATGACTATATTTCTTTTAGGAGGCCATTTTGTTTGTCTATGTTCTAAATCCCATGCTGTTTGGTTGAAAACCAAGGGAGATATATCCATTTACAGTTTCAGCCAATCAGATTGCAGCACACGTGGATGCACGTGATTTGATGAAAATTCTTATATACCATATTGTAGTATATCCTAAAGCATGCCTATGTTTTAAATTTCAAAGCAGTTCGTCAAAAAACAGAGAAGATATTGAGATTTTTGTTTCAGCCAATCAGAACAAAGCGCACGTGCATGCGCGTGCGTTCGTGCTAATTTGACAGTGTCACCATATCTACACTATTAATATATCTTAATATAATTAGTTTCAATTAATTTCAGTAAAAAATGTAAAATTTATAGCTATATTAAGTATATCAGTCATTTCACTCATATCACGCGCACGCACGTGCATGCGTATGCGCGCAAAATGACCGTCGTTCCACACACCTACACTACACACCTATCAACCCTAAAAATGTTTTAGCTCATTTGGGTGAACAGTTTCTGAGAACACTTGCGGACAAAAAAGTCCGGAGAAGAAATAAGAAGAAAAAAGAATAATAACTAGTGCTAATTGTAACGGGAACCGTTACAGATGTTCCCCAAACGCTCCCCAACTCCCTTTTAGTGCCATATTCCCTGTTATATACTAAATGTGAAAGCATTCAGTCCAAAAGTATTAAAAATCATTCATTCAAGTGTATTTCTAAATTCATTAGTTCCAAATGCACGCATGTGCGTGCACGTGCATGATGACCATACTTTCTTGTAGGAGTCCCATATGTTTATCTATATTCTGAATCCCATCCCGTTTGGTTGAAAAACAAGGGAGTTGTGGCCATTTCAAGTTTCAGCCAATCAGATTGCAGCACACGTGCATGCGCGTGATTTCATGATTTTTTTTTCTATATCGCATTGTAGGATATCCTAATGAATGATTATGTTTTAAATTTCAAAGCATTTCGTCAAAAAACAAAGGAGATATAGTCATTTAAAGTTTCAGCCAATCAGATCGCAGCACACGTGCATGCGCATAATTTCTTGAATTTTTTTTTGTATATCATATTGCAGGACATCCTAATGTATGACTATATTTTAAATTTCAAAGCATTTCGTCAAAAAACAAAGCCGATATAGTCATTTAAAGTGTCAGCCAATCAGATTGCAGCACACGTGCATGCGCGTGATTTCATAAAATTTTTTCTATATCATATTGTAGGAAATCAAAATTCATGACTATGTTTTAAATTTCAAAGCATTTCGTCAAAAAACAGAGAAGATACTGAGATTTTTGTTTTAGCCAATCAGAGCGAAGCGCACGTTCATGCACGTGCAAGCATATTCATGATGACAATATCTTCTTCTAGGAGTCCATAATGTCTATCTATGGTCTAAAGCCCATGCTGTTTGGTTGAAAACAAGGGAGTTATAGCCATTTAAAGTTTAAGCCAATCAGATTGCAGCGCACGTGCATGCACGTGCTTTCACGACAACTATTATATATCATATTTTAGGGCATCCTAAAGTATGCCTATGTTTTAAATTTCAAAGCATTTCCTCGAAAAACAGTAAAGATATTGAGAATATTGTTTCAACCAATCAGAGCGAAGCGCACGTGCATGCACGTGAGTTCGTGCTAATTTGACAGTGTCACATTATCTACACTATTAATTTATCTTTATATAATAAGTTTCAAATATTTCCATCAAAAAATGTAAAAGTTATAACTATATTAAGTATATCAGTCATTTTCACTCACTTCACGCGCACGCACGTGCAGGCGTACGCGCGCAAAATGACCTTCGTTCCGCACACCTACACTACACACCTATTAACCCTAAAAAGGTTTTAGTTCAGTTGGGTGAACAGTTTCTGAGAACACTCGCAGACAAAAAAGTCCGGAGAAGAAATAAGAAGAAAAAAGAATAATAACTAGTGCTAATTGTAACGGGAACCGTTACAGATGTTCCCCAAACGCTCCCCATCTCTCTTTTGGTGCCATATTCCTTGTAAGCTTACTTAAATGAGACAAATTCTGTGCACTTTTGAAGGATAACAATTACATTCAAATTTTAGCATATTGCACCCGTGCGCATGGGAATGCATGTTCGTTATGGCCATATCATCTTGTCTACACTTTCTATTTATTTTAGTTTGCTATATATTAAAGCATTTAGTCCAAAAGTATTGAAAACAACTCAATCAAGTGTATTTTTCATTTTACTTGTTCCAAATGCACGCACGTGCGTGCACATGTATGATTATCATACTTTCTTGTAGGAGTCCCTTATATTCATCTATGTTCTAAATCCCATCCTGTTTGGTTGAAAAACAAGGGAGCTATAGCCATTTAAAGTTTCAGCCAATCAGATTGCAGCACACGTGCATCCGCGTGATTTCTTGAATTTTTTGTATATCATATTGCATGACATCCTAATGTATGGCTATGTTTAAAAAATCAAAGCATTTCGTCCAAAAACAAAGGAGATAGAGTCATTAAAAGTTTTAGCCAATCAGATTGCAACATACGTGCATGCGCGTGATTTATTGATTTTTTTTGTATATCATATTGCACGACATCCTAATGTTTGGCTATGTTTAAAATTTCAAAGCATTTCGTCCAAAAACAAAGGATATATAGTCATTTAAAGTTTCAGCCAATCAGATTGCAGCACACGTGCATGCGCGTGATTTTTTGAAATTTTTTCTATATCATATTGCACGATATCCTAATGTATGTCTATGTTTAAAATTTCAAAGCATTTCATCCAAAAACAAAGGAGATATAGTCATTTAAAATTTAAGCCAATCAGATTGCAGCACACGTGCGTGCGCGTGATTTCATGAATTTTTTTTCGATATCATATTGTAGAATATCCTTATGTATGACTTTATTTAAAATTTCAAAGCATTTCGTCAAAAAACAGAAAAGATATAGAGGTTTTTGTTTCAGCCAATCAGAACAAAGTGCACGTGCATGCGCGTGAGTTCGTGCTAATTTGACAGTGTCATATTATTATTACTATTGATATATCCTTATATAAAGAGTTTCACATTATTTCATCAAAAAATGTAAAAGTTATTGCTATTTTAAGTAAACAAGTAATTTCACGTGTTGCACGCGCCCGCACGTGCATGCGTATGCGCGTAAAATGACCTTCGTTCCGCACACCTACACTACACACCTATTAACCCTAAAAAGGTTTTAGCTCAGTTAGGTGAACAGTTTCTGAGAACACTCGCGGACAAAAAAGTCCGGAGAAGAAATAAGAAGAAAAAAGAATAATAAGAAGAAACAGAGTAAAAACAATATGTTCCCAAACTCCGTTTGGGGAACATAATAAGAAACAGAGTAAAAACAATATGTTCCCCAACTTCGTTTGGGGAACATAATAAGAAACAGAGTAAAAACAATATGTTCCCCAACTTCGTTTGGGGAACATAATAACTAGTGCTAATTGTAACGGGGACCGTTACAGATGTTCCCCAAACGCTTCCCAACTCCCTTTTTGTGCCATATTCCCTGTAAGTTTCATTAAGGAAGGCAAAATCTATGCATTTAAGACATAAACCAAAAGTATACCAAGTATTTTAAATTTAAGCAATGCAGGCGTGCGCATGTGATTGCATGAGCGTAATAAAGATATCATCTTTTTTACTCATTTGCACGTGCACACACGTGCTTGATGACCATACTTTCTTGTAGGAGTCCATTATGTCTGTCTATGTTCTTAATCCCATCCTGTTTGGTTGAAAAGCAAGAGAGTTATAGCCATTTAAAGTTTAAGCCAATCAGATTGCAGCGCACGTGCATGCGCGTATTTTCATGACAATTATTATATATCATATTGTAGGACATCTTAAGGTATACTTATGTTTTTAATTTCAAAGCATTTTGTTAAAAAACAGAAGAGATATTGAGATTTTTTGTTTCAGCCAATCAGAGTAAAGCGCAGCTGCACGCACGTGTATGCATGTGAATGGTGACCATACCATCCTGTAGGAGTCCTTTATATCTATCTATGTTGTAAATCCCATGCTGTTTGGTTGAAAACCAAGGGAGTTATACCCATTTAAAGTTTCAGCCAATCAGATTGCAGTGCACGCGCATGCGCGAGATTTTATGAAAAATTTTATATATCATATTGTAGTACATCCTAATGCATGTCTATGTTAAAAATTTCAAAGCATTTCATCATAAAACAAAAAAGATATTGAGATTTCTGTTTCAGCCAATCAGAGCAAAGCGCACGTGCATGCGCGTGAGTTCATACAAATTCGACCATGTCATTTTATCTACACACCTTATATATCTTAATATAATGAGTTTCAAAACATTTTATCAAAAAATATAAAAGTTACAACCATATGAAATATATCAGTTATTTTACTAATTGCACGCGCCCGCACGTGCATGCGAATGCGCGCAAAATGACCTTCGTTCGGCACATCTACACAACATGACTACTAACCCTAAAAAGGTTTTAACTTAGTTTGGTGAACAGTTTCTGAGAACACTTCCGGACAAAAAAGTACCGGAGAAGAAATAAGAAGAAAAAAGTATAATAATAATAAGAAACAGAGTAATAACAATATGTTCCCAAACTTCGTTTGGGGAACATAATAATAGTAAGAAACAGAGTAAAAACAATATGTTCCCCAACTTCGTTTGGGGAACATAATTAAGGGTCTTGGAATTATTATTATTATTATGGATCTAGATTAAATATTGGTATTATTTTCAACTATTTGCTGTTGTTTTTGTTTTTTTGTTTTTTTTTTTTATCAACCGTTGTTCATTACAATTATTTTTTTTCGTATTTCATTGTACCATTTCATGACTCAGCACCGAAATTTGGCGCCATAGTATGATGACGTCACAAACGTGTGTCGTTTTCCAGCACCATCGGACTTTGGCGTGACAAACCATCGGGGTTTGGCGACTGCACGTGACCTATCGGACTTTGGCGTGTCAAACCATCGGGGTTTGGCGCAGACCATCGGGGTTTGGCGTGACCATCGGACTTTGGAGTCCCATCGCACTTTGGAGTCCTACATATGTATTAACTATTATGAGACTGTTATATAACATCCTGTCAGCAGCAAACATCTCAGTTTGGTAATGGGGGAGTTATTGGTGTCCTGCCAGAGAGATGATATTCTTTTTACGTGAATAAGTTGACTAGCCAGAGAAACAGGAATTGGGGTGGGGTAGGGAAAAGAAAACTCTTAAAACTCAGAACTCCAATGGTGTGGAAGGTGGTTTGGTTGGAGTCCAAATTTGTTTAATGGCAACTTCTTTCATTTTTATGTTTCCTTGTATAACCTGACGTATTAGGGGTGGTGGGCAACCCTTTTTGCAACAGATAATTCCTATAATATAAAAGAGTGTTTGAGGAGAAAAAGTTGCCCCCCCCCCTTGTTTCTATATGATTGACCCAAACCCAGCAATTAATATAATTTCAGCCCCTGCCCAACACACTCCCATAAAGGTTCAGGATTCATTTCCATTTGTGAAGGATATGATTTAATTAATTTCATGCATATGTACAAAATTTTGACAAGGGCATTTATTCAAGTTAATGACTGAATGTAAGCCTTAATAAATTAATTTTTCAAATTGCAAAATGGATTGGCCCCCTTTGTTTATATATGATTGACCCTAACCCTGCCATTAATATATATTCAGGGTTAGCCCAACCTGCTCAACAGAAGGGGTGGCAGTATGGGGATTCATTTGTTAAGGATCTTATCTAATTAATTTCATGCATATGTACAAAGTATACTGACAGTCTGACACGCAAAAGAAACGCAACACTCTACTTTAGGGTGAAATTATTATGTAAAGTAAAAAAATTAAGATCTTAGAATTATGGATATCTTCAAATTGGTAAATATCGTTAAATTAACGGTTGAACGATTTTCATACCACAACCGGAAGTCAAGTTTGAGTCTACCTAACAGAAATCGAAAATTGCATATTTCACAATACAGCTGGCAATATTAAGGAGTTTTAAGGGCTTGTACTGTTCATCCTAAGTAATGCAGTAATATTTCAAAAAATAAAATCTCATTTCGTTTCCCGTAACGATGCTAAAGCTTCTTGAAAATGGCTTAAGTGCGCATTTCCATTGCTCTTGCTGGAAAATCACCAAGTAAAGGCGATGGAGAGTTGATGATGCAAAAATACACTACATTACGTCTCAACGGGGTCTTACGTTTTATATTCATAAATGATAATCTTTGGACCGGAAGTCCAAGGGTAACTACAATGCACTAAGCTATAGAAAATTCGACCGAATCATCTGAAAAACAGGCATTTAAAAATGGTAAAGAATAATTCCTTCGCTCAGATCTCGATATTTATGGACCTTTTGTATCCTAGAAATTAAGCTGCTAATATTGTTTAGGACAGTCTATCACATTGTATTTGAGTGGCTGGGAGGAAGGTGTTTTGAAAGTCATAAGTTACTAAGTAAAGTTAAAAGATAAACATTTAACATTCATGTCAAATCTCTGATGTTCTGAAAATTGAGTATAGCCTTACTATATTCTTTTTTTAAACTCATTAGATGAAAAATTCAAATATTTGTAGATTACTCCTTGTTGCGTTTCTTTCTTGTGTCAGTATATTTACAAGGACATTTATTCTAGTTAAAGAATGCAATGTTTAATGAAATATTGATATAAAATGGAGAAATGAATTGGCCTCCTTTGTTTCTTTATGATTGACCCTAACCATGCAATTAATATAATATCAGCCCCTTCCCAACCCATTGCCAGAAAGTGTATGGATCCTGCAGATCCATTTGGTAAGAATATGATTTAATTAATTTCATGCATATGTACCAACTACTTACAAGGACAGTTATTGAACTGAAAGAATGTAAGCATGTTTGAACTAATGATATTCAATTAAGAAATGGATGATAATATGTGTGTGTGAAGATGTCTCGGACAATATTATGAAGTATATATTACACCTTCTTTTAGAAGAAATAGAAATTGAGAATTCCCCTATTCCCCTCTTTATTTAGATCATGACTCCCAGTAACGTTATAACTCTATATCAATTTCTTGTCATAACCCTGCACTTTATATATTTTCATCTTGAAGGGTTAGGAGTGGAGCCCGGCCAATATGACGACGTTACAACGGGTAAGAACATGATTTACATAATACCTCATATCTTGATTTAGTTTAAAATGTTGAAAAGAAATAAAATGAAAATGTGAATATTATTGAAATTGATGTCAATTAAACAGTAATGTTTTAATTGGAGTTATTTAAAATTTAATTTCCTTTTCCGGCACGAAAAACCAATGTTTTAATCTGTGTCAATTGAGAGACAGAGGATAAGATTTTATTTTGAAAAACTATGTTAGATCCACAAGCTGTTAATGTATAAAAGAAATAATTTAAAATACTTCCTAATCTTGTTTATCTACAAACTGAATATAATTGTTTGAAAAATGATGGATTTCTCATTGTTATTTGCATATGAATTTATCTAGTATACATTTTTCTTTACCATAATAGTCGGGGAAGATTTGAAAGAAGGGCTAAAACGAAAGAAACTCGTCAGGGTCCTTCTCCACGAGGGCCGGGCAGATGGTTTAATTCCTCCAGACTTGGAGCTGGAGGGATTAAAGGACATGATAAAGAACTTGAGGAAGAAGTAAGTACTTTGTATATAAATTGCTCATTGTGGTTAGTTAAGAGGCAGAATGCTGTTCATATGGTTAAAATAATGAGACATGTAGATCCTAAATCACTGTCCTTTCATATATTTTATAGTTTAAAAAATCAGTTGTAATGCCATATATAACTTGCAATTATAACTTCCTGGTGTAAGGAAGATAAATGATGTTAAATGTTTCTTCTTAGAATTTAAACTTAATATATATAAGAAATTCTGCAGGACAGGTGCATGGCTAAGGGGAAAAAGAATGGAAGTGAACTATCCTGATCATCATCCTGAGTGTATGGCAGCACCATTTTCCGAGTACGAGATGGGGAAGGACATAGGTACACACCTAACATCACAAGATGTGTTAGTATGGTATGTTACCACAGACGTCGATGCCCAGAGGTGCCAAAGGTATGGTCCATGCGAGGTCTACATTCCCTATGGAAAGAAGAGCGTCTTGCTGACCCCGTTCATCTTTAGCAAACATAGTTTTGTGCCAGCAACCGAGCAGTATACATTGATGCAATGTTCCCTACAACAACCGAGCAGTATACATTGATGCAATGTTCCCTACAAAGACCAAAGATGAGAATAAAGAGCCACAGAGAAAATACAGCAAAGCTGAAAATTCAACATGTGCTTTGAAAGTTAAAGAAAATAGGTTCTACACCAATAAGGGTTACTGCATTTGCACCTTTTTTTGCACCAATATCCAATAAGGAAAGTAGCAAATACAATATTACAAGGATTCACTTATGGGTTCAAGTTAAATTATTCAGGTCCAAAGGTCTTAGTAAACTATGTACATACATGTAGCGATGATGAGGATGCCTTTTCCAAATTTTTGAATTTCATGGCCTCTGGTCATGGGGTTTGGAGTAAGGAGGATACTCTTTTACTTATTAACCATTTATGATGAAATAAAATTTCTTAAATGTTGAAATGTGGGTACCAGGGTCAGTGGTTCCTGTGGGTCGGGATGTACCACTGGTTATAAAGTGAAATGTATTTTCTCTTTCTTACTCTGATCTCACTCGGGGTATTAAGTAACTAGAGTAAGCATTCTAAGTGTATAATTATGATAAGCAGTGGTGTATCTTTCACAATTATAAATTTCTTGGCATCTGGTTTAAAACACGAACCAAATTCAATTTTTCGAAAGTTGTTTAATGATACTCAGGTTACCTATAAGGCCTGTATGCCTCTTGTTTTCAGTATTTTTGCTTTTATATCAGTATTTATAGAACATTTTTTCAAAAGAATTTGACAGTATGTAAATTATGCTGCCAAAAGTGATGATAAAAACAATGCCGAAATGGTCCAACTATATGTTCATCATAGACCTTATTTTGCATTGTTTGCAACACGTTATATCAACCCTGGGGAAGAAATAAGATACTACCGTGTGAGAAACATTGGAAAAGGGAAGTTGTTGTTTGAATTAAATACTAAATGAAGGTATTGTGTTTGCGTTTAATAGCACTGCACATGAAGAACACAGGACCTCGTTAAGGCCACGGACGCTCTATGTTATCTCATTAGGGAGACCCCTCCAGCAGTGTACATCATGACAGGGCCGCTACATCCCGCCTTGCTGCTGCACTGGAGAGTCCATACCCACGTTTTGCAGCGCCTGTCTCCCCGAATGACAAATTTACTTGATTAAAATTATTTGTTAGATTGCTGAAAATTCACTTCAGTTGACTTCATTGCATGTAGAGACAACTACACTTCAAGTGACTTCATTGCATGTAGAGACAACTACACTTCAAGTGACTTCATTGCCTGTAGAGACAACTATAAATGGTTGTAGGTTGATAGAATATGTATGGTCACAGGAAATATCTTAGTCCTAATTCAAAGACACAGAGAGTATCGGCCTCTTTACAAAACAACTATTACCATCTGAACTCCCTCTGAACTCTGATTGCTGTCGAAGGCACTGTCCTATGTTTGAAATATGCCATGATGTCATAATTCACTAAGAAATATCCCAATTCTCTACTGCACACAAAACATTTTAGAAAAATTGAAAATAATTGGTTATTAGATTCAGTAGTATTGATTGATTGATTGATTGAATATTGTTTAACGTCCCTCTCCAGAATATAAAGTAAGTGAGCTGATTGTAATATTACTTCTACAAGTAAGAGCCTCGGTTAACGTCCCTTCGCTCTTTATATACCTCGGCCAAGTCAAAAGTATCTCGCCGTGAACCTCTAGCATGCTGGAGTAATTGTAATATAAGAGAACTCTGACTATTAAATGTTTTTATTTTTCTTTGCTCTACAAAGAATGAGAAACAAGGAACATGATTAAGAAATAACCCATAGATATGATTGATTGATTGATTGATGTTTTACGCCGAATCGGCAATATTTCAGCCATATATCGGCGATAAAAGGTAAATCATGTGGCCAGTTTTTAAAGTTTTGGGTTTCTCTGACAGCCCCCAATGAGCCTACTCTTTTTCGAAAATCAGGGAAACGATCTTTTGCGTGCCAAGGGGGTTGTAATCCTTGACACGGGGCACCATTTAACGTCCCATCCGACGGACCTCAAAATTAAAAAATGCAAAGCTGTTCAATTAAAATAGTTAAAATAGTTTTCATTAAAATACATTAAATACATTAGATTTTACAGTAAAAATCAGTTTCTTGCAAATACTTTAATATTGTAAACGGATTAATATTTTGAAAAAGCTCATGCATTGTATGTATATTATTAAAGAGTCTACTACGTATGGGCGAAAAATCAGAGCATTCCAACAGTATATGTTGTACAGTAATTGCACAGTCACAAGATATGCATTCGGGTTGTTGTTCCTTGTTCAGTAGATATGAATGAGTAAACCTTGAATGTCCAATACGAATTCTTGAAATAATAACTTCATCCTGACGTTTCAAACCAAAATTGGATGAATGATTAACTGTGTTCTGTATTGCGTAAAGTTTATTATTATCACAAAAGTTCCAATATATTTGCCATAGAGAATTAACATAATTTTTTATTAAAAATTTCAAATCAGTATAAGGAATTTTAAAGTGAACAATTTCATACTGAAGTGCTTTTTTCGCAGCACTGTCAGCCTTAGTATTACCAGAAATACCAATATGACTTGGAATCCAACAAAATTCAACAACTTTACCTTGATTTGTGATATTAAAGTATTTGGTTAAAATATCTAAAATATAAGGGTGATCAATGTTCATATTGCTTATTGATTGTAAACAGGAGAGGGAGTCTGAAAAAATTGTGAATAAATTATCACTAGATGATTCTATATATTCAAATGCAAGTTGAATTGCCTTTGCTTCGGCTGTAAATATTGTTGCTTCATTGGGAAGGCGTGTAGAAAACACATCATTTTCGACCACTGCAGCAGCAGCAACTTTATTTTTGTCTTTAGAACCATCAGTATAAATTTCAATTGTAGAAGGATTAGATTGTTTTAATTCTGCGAATTTCTGTTTGAAAACGATGGAATTTGTTTCTGACTTTATGAATTCCGTTAAGGATGTATTTACAGTTGGTTTAAGTAATTTCCATGGCGGTATGTCGGATTTAGTAGTAGGTTTTATTATATTTAACGCTAATTCAGAATCTCTGATATGATTTTTATATCTAAGACCAATTGATTTAATGCTTTTTTTCTTTTTATTGTATAAATCTTCATGCTCGGGATGAAACACACAGTCAAAAGCTGGGTTATCTGTATTGGCTTTTAATTTTACTAAATACTGCAAGGTAAGTTTAATTCTTCTTAAATCGAGAGGTGGTTCATTTGCCTCAACATATAAACTGTCTACAGGGGACGTTCGAAAAGCCCCTAAACATAACCGAAGTCCTTGATGATGGATAGCATCAAGTGCTTTTAAGTAAGAGGTCCTCGCTGATCCATATACTATGCAACCATAGTCTAATTTAGATCGGACGAGAGAGCGATAAAGCTTAAGTAGTGTATTCTTATCTGCCCCCCATTTAGTATTTGCAATAACTTTAATAACGTCTAGTGCTTTTGTACACTTTTCTTTAAGCATTTTAATATGTGGAATAAAAGATAGTTTATTATCAAATATAACACCTAAAAATTTAATCTCTTTAAGTACTTTTATTGGATCGCCGTTTAATTGTAGTTTTGGATCTTCGTGGCTTTTTCTTTTAGAGCAGAA